CTGAACTTATTTCGCTACTAAAAATTTGTTTTCCGTCCGGTCCGAAAGCTCAAGAGTGACTTTCGAAGTATCCTCGCGCCGCCGTTCATCAGATGTTAGAGCACTAGTCTCGTAAGCCAGCGGTCGCGAGTTCGAAACTCACTTGTGGCTTACTTATGTGTGTCTTATACGTACCTCAGACTTTGCTTTATGCTCGTTCGTTGGTTGCGGGTATAATCTTGTAAAGTTTATGCATCCCGTGTAATTTATATTCTTGGAAATCACAGGGTTCTAACATTTTTTGGCTCACTGGAGTATTTCATTTGAAAAAAAATATTTTTTTCAAAATAAATTGCAGTTTCTGAACTTATTTCTGTATTCAACATTCGTTTTCCGTCCGGTCCGAAAGTTCAAGAGTGACTTTCGAGATCTCCTCGCGCCAACAGAGCTCAGAGGTTAAAGCACTGGTCTCGTAAACCATGGGTCGAGTGTTCGAATCTCGCTGGTGGCTCACTTATGTGTGTCTTATACGTACCTCAGACCTTGCTTCATGCTCGATCGTTGGTTGTTGGAATAATCTTGTAAAGATTATGCCTCCCGTGTACTTTATATTCTTGGAAATCACAGGGTTCTATTATTTTTTGGCTTACTGAGATCTTTCATTCGAAATAATTTTTTTTCAACAGTCTCGAAGAAATTGCAAAACCTGAACTTATTTCTGTGTGGTTATTTGTCCTAAAGCTGAAGATTGTCTTTAACTGTCTTATCCCGATACCATAGCTCAGAGGTTAGAGCACTGGTCTCGTAAGCCAGGGGTCGCGAGTTCGAATCTCGCTGGTGGATTACTTATGTGTGTATTATATGTGCTATAGACTTTGTCTCATGCCCGTTGGTTGGTTGCGGGTATAATCTTGTAATGGTTTTGCATCCCGTGTCCTTTATTTTTTTGCATATCACTGGGTTCTATAATTTTTAATTTCTTTCATTCGAAAAAACTATTTCTTTCAACAGTCTCGATGAAATTACAAAACCTGAACTTATTTCTGTATTCAACATTCGTTTTATGTCCGGTCATTTGTCCGAAATCTGAAGATGGACTTTCGCTGTCTCCTCGCGGCACCTTAGCTCAGAGAGTAGAGTACTGGTCCTGTAAAGCAGGGGTTGCGAGTTCGAATCTCGTTGTTGGCTTAATTCTGTGCGCCTTATGCTCAGTGGCGGATTTTGACAATATGAGGCCCCAGGCGCAAAATTATTTTGAGGCCTCCCTCCCAAGAAAACTTTATTGTTGATAAAAATGTAATGTAAAATAGCTTAATTATGCTTTTAATTTTTGATCTTCGTTATCCAATTATATACTATTTAATATATATATATATATACAATTATATATTACAATTATATATATACAATTTAATATTTTTAATAATTTATATAATTAATATTTAATAATTTATATATAATATTTTTCTATTATTTTTTGCTTCTTTTATATATATGATTTTTCGACTTTCTGAAATAATTATGAATAATTTAATTGGTAGTTAATAAAATAATTAAATTTTTAGCTTGATGTAGGTCAATTTTAACAAAGAAATTATAACCAAGCAATTACAAAATTTTATTAATTAAAAAAATAGATTTTGAATATTATATCTTTTTAAATTATATTTAAAATAAAATTTGGTTAATTATATTTCCTGTCGTCTTTATTCTAGTTTATAAAAATTTACGAAACTGAAGTGCAAGATTAAAATAAATACACATGTAGTGATGTTATGTTGTTTTTATTTATTTACGAAAACAAATTTAATTATTTATCATTAATTATCCTTCTCCTTTAATTTATTTTCAAATTTCAGGCTCGCGAAAAAATTTTCCGAAGTAGAAAAATTTATAAAAGCTCGCTTCTAATACTGTTCAGGAACGGATTTCGAGACTACCACCTTTGGACGATTTTACACCGTAAAGGGGTGTCAGGCAATGACTCATATGAACGTATTTCCGGAGTTTGTTAGATCACGCTCAGTAAAATGTAAACATCACCCTTCCATTCTTCACTTTTCCCCTATTTTGATGAGAATAACTCCGCCCGGCGCATGCGCAAAAGCGCTGAGGGTTTCCGAATCCGTTGCTAAACAATAATGTAGGAGAGAATCAGATTGCTGATTCAGTATTCCCCAGCAGTTGCTGGGAATACTGAATTATTGTTTTATAAAGTATATTGTTAATTCAGTATGCAGAACGACCAGAAAAAGAAACTACTCCGGCAGTATTTCTTTTGGCGTTTTCTGCGATAAAGCTGTTTTAAAAGCATCGATTTATTTGAATGTAGAGCACGGATGGATTAGAGATTATCAATATGAAATCGTATTTCTTTCTTTCAAATGGAAAATTGTTGGAAATGTATTTTAAATTTAATAAATTTAGCAAAATGAAGATGAAAAAAAATATTAGCCATGCACTTTAAAAAAAACAACTTTCAATGCCGTAATAGAAGAAAGTTTTACAAAATTACAATATAAATTTTAAATGTTTTTCCCCTCGCTGTTTTAAATGTTTGTAATGTACTTTTATTTCTATAATGTTTAGATTGAAAAAACATTAAACGACATTACCCAGAGTTTTATTTTGAAATTATTGCTTTGTTTAATAAAACATTCAGGTTTGAATTTTTTTAAATCATGTATCTTGCTTCAATTAGGTATTATTGTTTTTACATAACATATTTATAATAAGCAAATAAAATAACATTGATAAACGTAAACCTTAAAATTAAATTAATAAAATTAGAAAGAAAAATATATAACCGAAGTTTCCAGAGTGCGCGAATGCAGCAAGCAACCAAGAAAACAATGAGCAAACAATAAAATCATCAAAAAACAAAATAAAAATTATTAAGAAATAAAAGATTGAACAAAGTAAAGGATTAAAGAATTCACCAGATGAACTTTCTCAAGGCGTCACTCAACATGAGTGGATTCAATATAAAGACAACAGGAAATCATTCCTGTTGTCTTTTATTTCGAATCCCCCTTCTTCTCTAGTAACAGTTTCAACCAAGAAAACCGTTTATTTTAAAGGTAGACGAATTCCCTTGTTTTTCAGCTTTATGACAGTAAAATGAAACTACAAAAAAAGACACAAGAACTGCACCCTTTCCAGTCGCTTCCGATACCAATAAAAAATCTAAATGAGTACTGCGGCTGGACTTTGCACAGAAAGAGGTGTCCTCTTCCAATATCGGAGGGTTGCTCGAGGGTTTCTAGATCGGTTTCAACGTTTTGGAGAAACATCGGTAAATGCGGGTGGTCGAATTTGAATGGCAATAAATCCCCAAAGACGGATGTAGAACGTTGTACAGGGCTATCTTATTTGTTTGCTTCAGAAAAGCAACTATATAGAGAAAGAGTTCTTCCTTCTCTCTCTTTCACACACACATTTCCTGGAGGCCCAAACTGTATTATGTTTATTAAGGGGGCCCGTTTGCCATCCAACAATCTCGTCAGTAGGGTTAGTCCGCCACTAGGGCTTATTTCCTCCCATTGCTTCGTTCCATTGTTTTCATTCACACTTTTATTTTTTAGAAGAGAAGAAGGAGAAACTTTTCTGTGAATTGAATTAAGGCTGCAATATCGGAAATTCGACACCGGCTTAGCACTGCGATGTATGTTACATAGATTTTGAGGCCCCCCTAGAGACTCGAAGCACGAGCCGGCCGCCTCTAACGCCTGTGCGGAAAACCGCCACTGCTTATGCTTACGAGTGGCATTGACTTATCTTTCTTTTATGCTCATGTGTTGAATTATATCTGTGAATTAACCTTGTTAAAACTACAGAGTTTCTACATTTAAAGTTGGCATTTTTAGAATTCCCTAGAGCCGGTTCTAAGGCTATTAAGGAAATAGTCCTTCCTCGGAAAACAGTTCAGATCCTGCTTTTTGGGTTTTTATAAATATGGCTTAAAAATTTGTGTCTGAAATTAATTTCCGAGGAGCGAGAATTTGCCGTTTGTTAATATTAGGGCATCACGCTTCAGGATCCTGAAAATTTAGAATGATACACACTGGCTGTATATTATGAAGAATAACCGATGCTACAACAGCTCAGATAGTTACAGAGTCGTATCGAGCGGGTATAAGGCTGGACATTCACGAGCGTTCCTTTCGACTCCAACCAGTTGTCAGTGCGAAAGACCGATGAGAAATGGAACTAGGCGGTCGGAAGTTTCGATTTCTAAAGTAGGACATTCACCACCAGGCCTTGTTTGTTTTACTTGTTTTGGAGCACAGGACGCCACACCCTTTTTTCAGTGTAAAAAACAGGTGAGAAATGAAGTAGACCGAGAAAAACGTTGGAATCCGGTTTGGATCTTCATTCTGCCCTCTAGGCCATAAAACTGTAATACGATAGTCGGATAGGGGGACCGAGTTTCCCTCACAAAAGCGAAAAAAAGAAAATGGCGGAGTGAGAGTTTGGGTGGGCGTCCCGCCGCGCCCCTCCCCGCGCCGGCGCCCCGGTTTGAACGCGGGGGAGGAGGAAGCGCGGGAGCTTGGATGGTGCTCATAAGTGTAGTTGGCACAGTGTGACCTGTGAATGACCCACCTAATTTTTACGGGCTGAAAATAGAAACGGTCTGCTAAGAAACACTGCAAATGGATTGGAA